TTCGAATCGAGCAAAGCGGCTCTCTCGGCAGACGATCAAGCAGCCTTTGGAGAAGTGGCAGATGTTTCAATGGCAGAGAAATCCCACGACAATGTCTCAGGCCAAGCCTTGCAGGCCAACTTAGAGACTATGGCAGCAAATCTCCAGACCCTACAGAAGTCTGCAGAAGAATCAGTGGCTGCGGAAGAACAAGCTGCCAAGAGACCTCGCTTGGGAGATGGAGACAATGCATTACCAGAGGCATCAGCAAAGAAGCCAGGTGGAAATGCCCTCGAGCCCTTCGCGGTCAGAGACGCTCCGTCTTTTCAGGCGCCCGGCAAGTAGTGACAAATGCGTGCACTTGCCTAGGGCAGCGTCTAGCGCACTTTGCGCTGCCGATGATCGTCAGGAAGTGGACCCACAAGATTTGCAAGAAGTGGGATTTTTTGAGTGAATGGCAGGCCACAGAAGATGCTTGTGAGCTTGCGATTGAGTTCCAATATTACACAAGTGTTCACTTTTCAGGGTCTTTTGACCGGCAAGTTCCATCCACTGCGTTGAGGGTTCGCAGAGTGAGCTTTTGCATGGACATTGACCTGAAAATTGGATATGATGATGTAGACATTTTTCAATGTTTTGCTATGCCAGAGGCTGTGTTTCACGATTGGACAGACAAGCCCTGGTCATTGTACCCTACCAGTGATGTCCGAGTTACGGATGCCTTTTTCAATGTTCCTTCTATGCACCATGGCACAGATGACGAAGCTCCTGTAGGCCCTGGTCATGATTTTGAGGAGAACGATTTTGCTGATGAAAAGGCAGCCACGACTCCTATTGAAGAGGAGAACGTTGATCTGCAGGATGGTGATCGTGGTTCAGATCATTCAGGTCCAAATGATCCCCATGGTCCTGACAGTGAAGACCCCACTTCTGATGAAGATCCACAAGCTTTGCACATTCTTCGACTAGCGCGTCCACATGCTTTTGGACACGTTGACTGGAGCACATACCACACCGTTTTGAGAGATATGGCTCGGATTGTGCGCATGCCCATCAACGTTCTGGTCGGATTTCATTATATGCAAGCACGTCTTGATGGACTGGCTGACATTGAAGAAGCAGTCATTCTGCAACATCTCTATGACATTGAGATAGGATCTTTGGAGAAGTTGGTTGTCTTTGACTTGGTCATGCACATGAATCATGCTGGACAACGAGTTCCACAAGCACCCAGTGTCACCAGGACGGTACGCAGAGTCCTTCCGCAATTAGCTCGCACCCATGTCCTGACTCTGGCTGGTGTTGATGATTATTGTGAATGGGTGCAACATCAATGTGTTGTATACCTTAACAATCAGATTTGGGAACTCAGAGATCAGCGCTTGAGGGATGTTGCCCACGGCACCTACATCAAGATTGAGGTTCCGCCACCACCACCGCCGCATTGGAATACAGCTGCAGCTATCAATGTTGCGCGGGATGTTGGTTCTCTCTTTGGTTTTCCAGAAGCCAGTGAACTTGCCTCACAAATCTTAGCAGCTGAATTTGAGACTTCCCACCCAGCAGCAGAGGGGCATTTCCGGCAGCACAAGCCATGTGTCATTGAAGATGATGTAGATGTGCCCATGACTTTTCCAACTACTCGAAGGCAACGTCTTCGACGTCCACGACATGATGGAGATATGCACTGGCTCGACCAACTGGCACGTGTTTTCCGCACAGAAGCTGAAATTGAGGTCATTGATGGGCCCCCACTTCTGTACGTGCAAACTTGGTTTGTGCACCATCAGCAACATCCTCGTTGTGCAGATCCTCGACCATTACGACTCGAAAATGCCATGATTACGTGGCTTGAGGAATTGAGATTCCTCTGGAGAGATCGACTAGATCGCACAATGCCATTTGCGATTCACGTCATCCAGCCACGACCTCCTCAACCTCGACTACAAGGCTATGGATGCCACATCCTCCTTGAACAGGCTCAGCCACCGCAACGAGTCGCGGGAGTTGCCACTCATTTGTTTGAAGGAGCTCGACATGACGCCCTTACGCAATTTGCGGCCTCTTTGCCTCGATTCATGAGGTCTCCTGACATCATTGATGAATTGGCTCTCAACCGTTTTTGCGATTTCCGGCACTGTACGATTACAGTTGGCGGTGCGCCAGTTCCTGTAGCTGCTGCGCTTGAGGTTGCATCTGGCTTCAGTATGAAGATCCGCATAGCTGCTCCACAAGATCAACTCCCTTTGTCTCCTGGAGAGACTGTTGAGCACTTTGCGGACATTGCCTTCTTGCAGCTGCCATTGCATAGTACTTGGAGCAAAGACATGCCCGTCATTGATCATATGCAAGAAGCACCTGCTGATGGCCCCAATCAAGCCCACATTCTTCGAGCTGAAGCAAGGCCCTTTGCTCCTGGTGCCCTCCTGCCGCATGATACAAGTGAATTTGTGCACAGCCTGCACCAAGCATGGACAGCGGTTGCCTGGAGTTGGGAAGAAGAGGCGGCCTCAACCGAGGTTCTTGTATGGTTTGCTGATCATGCAGCCCCCATGCCTCATGGACTTCAGCCTCGACGCCTCCGTCTTTGGCCTGATACCCAACAGTGGGAGGACGCTATTAGACAAGTTTGGGCTGACTCCATTGTGCCTGGCGCGCCACTGGAATTCAACCTTGCTGAACCAACGCCACCCAGGCTTGAACCAGGTATTGCAGCACATGTTATCCTCATTCAACACCAACGTGAAGACTGGGTTACATCACTGGTCACATTGTTTGATGCCGTTGACCACGCTGAACCTGTTCCGTTTTTTCGGAGAGCTGTCACTACGATCGAGCATATCTACCTTGAGCACCTGATTGTCACTATGGGGTATGCAGATTCTTGCCTTTTACGCCCATCTCAATTCTTGTGCCGAGGATGGTACCATGGTCAAGCTCTTTTACCTGGTCGGCCTATACCTGGCCGCAGTGGTTACAGTATTGTTGTCCACGTCCAGCGTACTCCTGTCTTTGCTGGGGCTACTGCATTGATGAGCAACCCGAATAAGTTGAAGGCAACGCCAGTGCAACTACAAGCCCATCAATTACAAATTGCTACTGAGCACTTCCTCAACCAGTTGCAGCTCTTCCCCGATCCTGATCTCCAAGATTCAAACCTTGTTGAGAACGTATCGACGACAGCTGCACCACTGATCCGAATCTCCATGACCGACATTCGATTTGCCCTTGAGAAGTACGACAAGATCTTTCTGCTCCCACGATACCACCTCCATGAAGGGGAAGATGCCACCGCTTGGACTCAAACGTGGTGGGATTGTCAAACCCCAGTCACCGAGGTCTGGATTTACCATGATGGTTCACACCGTGAAACTGGGGCTGGTGCAGCTGCTGTGGCTTTTTTACGATGTGCAGATGACCAATGGGTCTTTGGAGGTGCTGTATCTGTGCAACTTCCCGCTGCCACCACATCCTATGGAGCGGAACTTCGTGGAGGCCTTTTGGCAGTGCAGTTTGGTATTGACATTCTGAAAGTCACCACTCTCAATCAAGCAACTCCACCAACTGTACGATTGTTGCACGACAATACGTCAGTTGGCAATCAGATCTTCGGCAACTGGAACGCCAAAGCTGACTTCCTTGTTGCGGGGATTGGGCGGCATTTGCTCATTTATGCCGAGCACCGCTTTGGCAACACATGGACCACTCAATATGTTGCGGGTCATCAAGGTGACATTGGCAATGAACTTGCTGACCGCGTTGCTGGTCTTGCAGCTGAAGGCAATCCCACTGGTGATGCGAATGAATGGCTACAGGCAATCCTTGCGCCCCAATTTGGACAGCAAGTTGCATGGTTTTGGATTTTCTACAGTCCACAATTTCAGGACTGGTGGGATGGTTTGGACTTATGCCTTCCCCACCAGCCAACAAGCTTGCCTTCCCAAGAGGTCTTGCCCCAGTTGAATACTCAGCATGCAACATCGAGATCTGGCCATTTTGACTGTATCATTGGCACGTGCAATGTACTCACCTTGCGTGCCACTGGCAAGCACGATGATGCTGACCTTGGACTACATGGGCCCACACGCCAGCAGATTGTTTTCCAGCAATTTCTGGAAGCACGTGTCTGCATCTTCGCCCTCCAGGAGACGAGATTGCGGCAGAGCCACAAAAATTTATGTGGCTACCTCCTCTTTCGAGGGGATGCTTCTGTACAAGGTCACCATGGAATCATCATTGCCATCAGCACCACATTACCCTATGGGCACTACCAAGATGCACAAGGACGGCGACATGACCTTTTCTTCAGTCAACGTGATGTTTCTGTCGTGTGTGCGAAGTCCAGATTTGTGATATTGCGCTTGCAGACGCCTTGGCTGAGATGTCTCCTTGTAGCTGGCCATGCACCACACTCTGGGCACACACAAGATGAGATTGAATCATGGTGGTCAGCCCTTAGCGCAATCATCCCACGTGCCGTAGCAGATTGGCCCATCGTCCTCCTGGTTGACGCTAATGCCAAAGTTGGTGATGATACATGTGATGCAATTGGTTCCCACGGAGCTGAACGAGGAGGAGACCGTGCATTGCCTTTTACCTCCTTCATCCGAGAGCATGGCCTTTGGCTTCCTTCTACCTTTCCATGTCATGAAGGTCCTACTGGCACGTGGCGCCATCCATCTGGTACATGGCACCGTAATGACTACATAGGCATTCCAATGTCCTGGCCTGTTACAACTTGTACTTCCTGGACTTCTGAAGACATTGATGTTTCTCTCCATCATGAAGATCACAGACCAGCGCTTTTGCGTCTTCGAATGCCTCTTCATTGCTCTGGAGGATCACACCACACCAGCCCCTTCAAGAGCAATATTGAAACGGCCGATTTGTCAGGATTGCGTTCCTGTGCACCAACAAGTACGGGCCTTGACGTGCATACCCATGCTTCTCGTGTCCAAGCACAAGTTCTCGCTTGCCTCCCACAATCACGACCTACTGGTTCTGTCAAGCTCAAGAAGACAATGTCAGACACTACATGGGCACTTGTTGGGGACAAGAGAAAGTGGCGACAGACTCTGCGTGAAGCAGCGGCCTTGCAACGAGCCACACTGCTACAGGCCTTCTTTGTTGCATGGAAACAACTACGTGAACATCCAGATGATCGAGCCCTTCCTGAACTCATGGCGCCATTTAATGGCCTCCTCATGGAACAAGATCGCATCATTGCCAAAGCGTTAGCTGAATTCCGCCTTCTTGGACGGCTTGTCACCAAACATTCACGACAAGATGACATCCGATTCTTCCAGACGGTTATGGAGGAGGGTAGCCATTATTTGAGTCCACACCAATCGAGAGACCTTTGGAAGGTCATCAAGCGGGCTCTGCCGAAGTACCGCCAGCGACGAGTTGCTGTGGATCCTTTGCGCATGATGGCATTGGAAGATGAGTGGAACCCTCACTTTGAAGCCCTTGAAGCTGGCTGTATTGTTGAGACAGAACGACTTCTGGCTGAAGTTGCTTGTCCCCTTCAACAAGTTGATGAGCATAATGCGCCCACAATTGCAGACCTCCCAACACTTTTTGAGCTGGAGCACACCCTGCGGGCCAACCGTACTGGGCGCGCCACTGGGCATGACCCATTGTCATCTGCCCTCTTTCACAACCATGCAGCTGCGCTTGCGGAGCATGCCTTCCCTCTGATGATGAAAATGTGGATTTGGGGGGAGGAACCTATCCAATACAAAGGAGGACCTATGGCGCTGATACCCAAGGTCCCTCAACCTGTCGAGGTGAAGCACTATCGTGGGATTCTTCTCCTCCCAACGTTAGCGAAGAGCTTCCACGCCTTGCTCAGGAAGAAAGTCATCCAACTTCTGGATCATCGCAGACTGCCGGGACAACTTGGGGGATTTGCAGGCCAAGAAGTCTTGTTTGGGTCCCAAGTATTGAGAGTTCTAGGCAGAACGGCACTTGCAAAAGGCCTCAGCATTGGAGTGCTATTTGTGGACTTGAGCACAGCATTTCATTGTCTGATAAGGGAAATGGTTGTGGGCATTGCTGACCACCACAAGCTCCAGTATGTCTTCGATGCATTGCAATGGACAGAGGACTCCTCCAGTCGCTTGCGATTTGGTCAAGCCATTCCGTGCCTGCTTGAGCAACTTGGAGCACCAGCTTACCTTGTTCGACTTTTGCAAAATATTCATGATTCAACATGGACCACCATCAATGGCAAAGAGTTCATCAGAACGCATCGTGGTACCCGACCGGGTTCCCCATTGGCAGATGTGATCTTCCATTACATCATGTTCGACTTCTCCATTGCTCTTCGTGACTTTCTGCAAGTGAACGGCTATGTTGAGAAGTTTGATCGTCATCTTTCAATGGACGTTGACATGATTATTTGGAGCGATGACCTTGCTGTGCCCATCATTGAAGAACATGCTGCAGATCTCATCCCATCTTTGCTCCATTTATTGGATTTTGTGCGGACGCAGTTTGCTCAAAGAGGTTTCAAGATCAACCTGAACAAAGGGAAGACAGGCATTGTAGCGACGTTCTCTGGCAACGGTGCAGCCCCGGCAAGACGCCAATTCCAGCTTATCCCACAACCTGGAACTAGCTTTGAGTTCAGTGATGGCACCGAGCAATTTGTCCATATTACACCTGCTTACAGGCATTTGGGCACATTGTACACCTCTGACCAAAACCTGGACACAGAGATCTCCCACAGGATCGGCATTGCCCGCTCTGCCTTTGAACAGCTTCGACGCCGTCTCATGGCGAACGAGCACCTGCCATTGAAGATACGGCTGCAACTCTTTAGTTCATTGATTTTGTCCAAGCTGTACTTTGCAGCTGGTTCCTGGCATACGCCTACGGGTCGCCAACTTGAACGCATTAGGAATGCGGTCGGCCGGATGATCAAGGCCATTGTGGGACCATCCCAGAGAACGAAGTCCATGGCACGTACCCTGGCACAGATGGGGATCCTAGACCCACGCGTGCGCCTTGCGGTTGAGCGCTTATTGTATGCCCAGAGGCTTTTTCACCATGGTCCTGCATTCCTCCAACTCATGACACATGCGGAAGCAGCACAGCACTCCTTCTCTTGGATGACTGGCTTGCAGCACGACCTCCGATGGCTCTATGGTGTTGAAGCGGTTGCTGACCCTGGACTCCTTGCGACAGACCTGACCGAGCTCATTGAGATTTGGCAACAAGATGCTGGCAGATGGAGAGCGAGAGTGCGAAGAGCGAGCCAACGTCACCTCTTTCAGGACCTCATGATCCATGAGGTGCAGCAGTGGCATGCTGATATTTTTCACTTGCTGCGCCACAATGCTTTCACGTTTGACCCGGCCCCGGCGCTTTTGCATCTTCAAGAACGCCTTTACCAATGTCCTGACTGTGAGAGGAGCTTTACCACACCTCAAGGTGTTCACACGCACCGCCGGAAAAAGCACGGCGTGTTTTGCCAGGAAGACAACTTGCTGGATTCCGCCACGTGCCCTGCTTGCCTCACTTACATGTGGAGCACACAAAGACTCCAGCAGCATCTATCCTACATGCCACGCAATGGGACGCCCAATCCGTGTTTTGCCTACTTGCAGCAGATTGGCTACATGGTCTCCTACTCGGCAGAGCACATTCCGAAGGTCATGCATGGACAATCGCGTTTGGATGCTTTGCCGGCATCTGGACCTTTTGGTTGTGGGCCAACGGCGAGTGAGCGCTACTTGGCAGGGCTGCGAACAGCAAAGCTTCGGCTTGAGGCCGAGATCCACAACTACGTGCAGCCAGCAGATTCTGAAGGAGCAGGCGAGCGCTTAGGAGACATTTTGACCGCTGCTACGTATCGATGGTTTGCAGATTTTCGCCTTGCAAACTTTGATTTTGCGGCTGTGGAGCGCCCCCAAGACAGATGGATTGATGTGCTTTGTAAACTACCATCGGACTTTGAATCCTGGGTTGCACGTGTCTTCATCTTGTGGGGGAGACATGTACTCCCAGACATCATTGACAGTTTGGTGGATGGTGAGGCTGAGTTTTACTTGGATGAGGAGTATGCGGAGCTTGCAGCTGAGTTTGATGAATTTTGGCATGAAGCACATTTGAGGCGCATTGAGCGCCAAATTGCTGCAGCAGAGCAAGCACAACCAGCTCCGCTACCACACCGTCCTGTACGCCCTCCACAGAAAGATGGAAAACCGAGGACAATCCCGCAGCTGGAAGTCCCTCGCCTGTTCACAGAACAGGAAAAATGGCAGGCTGACCTGAAGCGAGTCCAATGGCAAGATATGCCCCAAGACCCTTTGACGCCCCTAGTGCCAGGCCTTGCACCTCGCCCATCCTTCTTAATAGTACACCTATTTGCCGGCAGACGTCGTGACCACGACATTCACAGCTGGCTCGAGGCATGGGCTCAGCGCAGAAATTTTGCTCTCACCATCCTGTCCCTCGACACGGCTATTTCGCCGGTCCTGGGCAATTTGGATCAGAATTCCGAGACCTGGAACAAGTTGCAGGAGGCCTATCTCTCGGGCTATGTCGCTGCGACTATTTCGGGGCATCCGTGTGAGACATTTTCTTCGGCGAGATGGACAACGCCGCCGCCTGAACTTCAACATCAGCGTTGGCCGCGCCCTTTGAGGACAGTGATGCAACTGTTTGGGCTCGACCACCGTAAGATGCGAGAGCTTCGACAAACCCGAGCTGGCAGCGCATTCTTCCTGCAAACGGTCTGGACGCTTGCTTGTCATCTGGTTTTCGGAGGCATCTACATTGAGGAGCACCCAGGTGTACCCCGACAGCCCCATCATCCATCGATATGGAGAAGTGCCATCTTGAACCTCTTCAGGCAACACTCTGATGTGCGTTTCCATGAAATTGGCCAATGGCGCTTCGGAGCTGCTTCTGTCAAGCCGACGGGCTTGTTAACCCTGCGGATGCCCTACTTCATTGGCGACCTGTTCTCCCACGCTGATCCTCACGCTGAGAGGCCGACCACGGCAGCGATAGGGGTTGATGATGCGGGCCTTTTTCGGACCGCCATCCACAAAGAATACCCATGTAGACTCTCAGCTGGCTTAGCACAAGCCATTGCGGCCCAGCTTCAACGACAATGTCGGGACAGGCTGGTGCGTAGTACATGTGCATTGCCGCCTCCCTTGGTAACATGGATCAAAGAAGTAGCAGCCAATTGTGCTGCTATTAGGTCCGAAGCAACATGGCTTCCCGATTATCAAGGTTGAGGCTTTTGGCGCCTAATTCGAGAATTGTGCAAGTTGGCTGCAAGGTTCAGACCTTTCTGACGCTAGTGAAAGTGAAAGTGATATATATGTGTATATTGATTATTTTGTCTTGCTTCCTCAAAACTCATAAGATCCAAAATGCACACCCGCATTGATTTAGGAGGAAAACACTTGTGGGCCCTTTAGTTGCTACCCCATTTCGTTGCTATTTGATACAAGGCCACCCAAAATCAGAAAAGCTACAAAGACATCAAGACAAGTATGTGATTAGGTGTACATTTATAGATAACATTAGATAACTCAGACTCACTTTATAGATAAAAAAAACTTTATTGGATATGATATAACACGAACTTGTTTGTATTGACGCCCTCTGGAGGAACCCTATACTAAGACGCCAATCTACCACAGATCATTTCGTCTCCGATTTCGTCTCCTCATTGGCTTGAAAGGTGACATCTCCTCATGCGAAGAAAGGCGATGCCCCCAGTTCTGCTTGTTCGTTTATAAACCCCATTGACCATAGATATGTCTACCACAGAGCCTAGTTCTGTATAGTTAGTATGGGTATTGGTTATATACCAACTTAGCACTGGCTCGTAGCTTCAATCAAAATGACTATATAAAAATACATACGACATACAAATATTCAATAATACCAGTAATATTTTTCCATGTGGTTTGATATAACTGTAGTATCATGTCAGAAGCAAAACCACCACCTCCAAAAGCACTCGGCTAGCCAAGTCCTCCAAACTGCACTTCGTTGAAGAGAGATATTGCCTTTTCCTCATTGGCGAGCGCAAGAATTGTCAGCTGGGGGTCATAAATGGCTTCCCAAAAACTTTCTTAATTACCGCACATCTGCACCCTGGCCAAATTCAGCTCCATTTCTGGTGGCCCAAAAGGCCGGAATGCTTTGCCTGTTGACCTGTTGCAACCCATTTTTCATGTGTGGTTTCACATTGTTTTGTGCCACAGCTTTCTGTGATTTTCCGCTGTCCCTTTGCCCAGCTTCCCATTGCTTCGCAGCAGAAAGAGACCGAATCAAAGTGTTGTAAACTTCAACGTCCTGATCCTCAGATCAATCATGCTCCGTCCACCTCCAAAAGGCCTTCTAGGCAAGAAAAAGACAAGTACTTTCCCTGAAATGCCCCAATTTTTGGCCGCTGTAACCGCACCCCAGAGGTGGAAAAAAGGATCCCAGCAAGAACAACCACTGCTCCAATGATGTTTCAGAATGCCGCCCCAAAATACTTGGCATGCAAAATCACCTCAGCATTCCTACTTGATCACCATTTTCCCGATTAAATTTGCATTTTTTAAGGTACAGTAAGTATATAAATAAATAATAAATCAACCCATGTTCAAACAACAAAATCACACCCAGTGAAGCCATAGACATTTGCCAAAGGCTCCGGACCATGTCCTCCTTCCTTCATCTCTTCAAAGAACTGCAAGGCTTTGGCCCAGGGCAGCGAGCGAAGCTGCTCCAATTTCTCATCCATGCCGCATGGCTTGGCGGCAGTTACGGCAGTTACAGTGGCCTTCCCCCGAGCGAATCTGGGATATGGTGGTTTCCATAAATGTGTGTACCCCAATAGCTGATGGATTATAATGGAAAATCCTATCAAAGTGGGTGATTTAGGGGTTCTGTACCCCTATGAGCCATGAGGAATCATCATGTTTGGAGGAAAACCTTGGGACAACCAGCACGTCTTGAGACTCACACAGAAGGGATATGATATGATCCTCTATGATACCACTACTAGTAGCGTCCACTTGCCAGAATGACATCTGACATCTTGTCAGATTCACATCTTTGACTGACTTTCCATAGCTTCCCATATCCTAGAGCCAAAATTGCCTCAACAACACTGACATCAATGGCACCAAGTAATGAAGGTATTAAGACATTGATCAGTGAAATCATTTTTTCCAAGTTTTGATCCACTGGACCCTGCTCTCCCCTGCTCATGGCTGTTTTGATCACATAGTACTGGCAAGGGTGTCGAAAGTGACTTGTTCGAAACCGACAAAGCACTATATCATAGTAAGAACAATGAGGACAATTGGGATGATATCGTTGCCAAGCTTAGATACCGAGACCGAGCACAAAACCGATTTGTTAGCTGGTTAGTAGATATTCAATAGCTGAAGTAGATCGAAGATTGACTTATCCCAAGTCTACTTTCCCGATGTATTGAGTTGAGGCAATATTCCAACTATTTGGGGAGTGGTATGATATATTTTGGTTGGTAGTCTCAACCCTCCCGAAAAACAAACATTTGTCGTTGGGGTCCAGCATCCCATTTCTACGCTTGAAAAACAACATCGAAACAAAAACCATGATTTCCCAGTTTTTTACAAATATGTGTATATATATATATAAATGTAAAATTATATACATACACATCGGAGATATGCAAATATTGGCTACATATCCGTTCTATTATATTGCTATATTTTAAGATGATTAAATCCGTTAAATCATCTTCCCCATGTTTGTTCTTTGAATACCCATCATTTTTCAACATCTCCCTGGAAAAGAAGCCAGGGACCCCCAGGCTGCCACTCCCGGGTTCTAAACCAGGTCTCCTGAAGACCAAGGCGTGTTGGTGGGTCTTGGGCAACCTTGGCGCTTGAGAGAACAATGCTTCCAGCTGAAAAGTTGCATCCCAGTAAGTGGTTAATAACCATATGACATAGCCTTGGTAATGATGAACGGTGATAATACGTACACACACGCACATAGATATAACTATATAAAAGACGTCATCTATATACTAAATTCATGAAATATATAAATGTGTACAACAAATTAGCATATATATATATAAATATATAACATCTAAATATAACACACCCACATATATATATATATACAAACCAAATACAAATATATAACATATATACATAATATATTTATACACACCATATATATTTATAACATAAACATAGAACATATATAACAAGTATACGCAGCATATATATATATAATATAATGTAAACATTATCTAAAATAATGTATATATATAAAACACTATGTATAAAATACCGATATATATTTAGCACATGTATAAAACATAGATATGTACATCTATTAAAAAGACGATATATATATATATATATATATATGTGTGTATATATAAATATATAAAACAAACACACACATATATATATATATATATTTATAGTAAATATAAAACATAAAAATTAAATATAACACATATATAACATATTTATTTATATATATATGCATGTGCAAAAAATAAAACATATAATATATATTTGTATATATATATATATATATACATATGACATAACATATATATGTTATATATAAATATATACTATATATATATTATATATAATATATATATATATAACATATATATATATAACATATGTATATAACATAACACCTGTACAATACAATACAATACAATACATTACTATATTAGTATAAAAAAAAAAAAACAACGCTTTTGCATATTATAATGTTCTACAGTATAATATAAAACTACAATCAACTATACATAAATACATATATGTATGTTGCGTGTGGGTTATTAGCCGCTTACCAACTGTGATCTACCCAAAAACTTCACTCGACAAGTTCTAGCTGACTCAAGCTTTCACCCCAATCAGACTTCAAAATACGGATGCCAGACATGTATTTCCTGAGATGTAAATAATACACAGCCAAAAGGGATGGCTCATTAGGACTTGCACATATAGATGAATGAAATGAATGAATTGCTGGATATTGTCGGAATGAAACTCAATGTGTAAGAGTCCTTGCTCAAGAAGATTGAAGTATGCCCTAAGTCGTGCTATAGCCGCAATGATGGTTTCTTTCAAACTGGGGATCCCCATCAAAATGTTGCCTTGTCAATTCCAATCTTTGCTGGACCCGAAGCTGCTGTCTAGTGACGATGCGTAGAAGCCCACCAGGTGTTCCGGTAACATGGTCAGTGCGGCTTCCTGCAAGGCGGCGCCCAGTTAATGAACCAGGTTGATATTCCAAAGTATCAACGATAATGGGTAGTCACCAAGGAAAAGATAGGAAAAGATAGAAAAAGACGGATATATTCACTTGCCCCAGCACCGGCTGTTGCAGCAACAGGGGAGCCATGTGAACTGAACGATGATCCAACTGCAGGTGATGAGCAATGGCTACGGTCCAAGCAATATTAGTGGATCTAAGCTATGCACCCGATCTTCAGAACTCGGGTCAGAATATGGATCCAAATTGACCCAAAAAGAATTCCAATCTGACCAATACAAAGTTCAACACTGACTATATCATCATGTATCTGGATAAACTATAATCGTTCACGAAACTCAATTAACGCAATTTTTGGATAACTTCTAACCATCATTCCAGTGACGTCAGAGTGAGTCCGTTATAATTTATCCAGATGCATGGCAGATAGACCTATGACCTGCACTTGGGCGGCTTGGATTCCATCTTCGATTTAGGGCCAGTCAGTAATCATCCCTGGATAGTCTGTGTTTTTGCAGCCACTGATTTCTGGCGCGCATCACTGCCGCGGGTCTAACGGTCTAAACGCGTGCCTTAAGTGGTGCTAACCGGAAGAGCTACGTCAAGACACCAGGCTGTTGGGAAGCCTCCCTGAAGACAACCGGAGTTGTTTACAGCCCAAACTTGGATTTAACGCGACAACACGTGGTGCCTTAAGAGCCGGACATGAGAAGTTTTCACTTTATCAACACCATCAACCACTGTCAGCAACACCATCAACCAATCAAAGATTCGAACTGTCTCACAGAGCCGCGGCTTCCCAACCGGAAAACATGCCAACTTTGGTGCTTTCCGTTGATCTCAAAACTCTATGCCTGGCTACGTGTGGACTTCCAGCGAAAGCCGTTGCTGGGCAACAGGGAGTTGGAAGTCTTCACTGGAGGTGCGCGGGGTGGTGGCGCCACAAGTTTCTTGTAGCCGTTGCTGGCCACGCACATGGAATCCGAATACCTCAATGGGTTGCTGCAACGGGCTGGTAGCGGGCTTCCAGGATTCCAAAGGATGTGTAAATTACAGGAAACCATGCTTTTGTTGTAACTTGGCCACAGGAGATGCTTTTTTCTGTGAGTCATGTGCCTGAAAATAAAATGCCAACCTCTTGAACATGCTTTACCTTTTTTTATTGGGGGCTTAACAAAAAATCACCCCATTCTTTTGATCTTCCATGGTGTGGAGTGCGGTACCCTCTGGAAAATGACCATTTATATTTAATGAGTTTCCCCATGAAAAATGGTGGATCTTTCCATAGCAAACTGTTAGTTTACCAGAGGGTAATCATCATGGATCAGTGAAGGTTTTCCAGGTGAAAAAAACGGACGCATCGAAAACGGAACATCTTCCCCAACTGGTATCGTCACAGCAATGATCCCAATAGTAACAATAATTCAATAGATAAATGCTAAAACCCATTATTGTTGTAATATGTATTATAAATATGGTTGTAATATGTACTATTCAATGATAACTGTATCTCTAAAACCAATGGTATACCATTTTATAATAACAGGTTATTGGTATCTCAATACAATCACAGCAATCGCAGGCAATAGTAAAAACTTGCGGCCGGATCAGTGGTACCCTGCCTCTGGTAATCTATCTGGCTCAAACATCCCTCGTGTAGATTCCAGTAGATGACGGTATACCAACTCTTAGCCTACAATAAGTCCGCAACCATAGAATCATCTATTAGCACTGTTTTTTCATATGTTATAATGATCATGGGCTGAATCATCACCGTAATAATAAGGGATGAATCATAGTTATTATAAACTTGTTGTTCATCCATTAGCATCCTTGCATCGCTAGGGCCAGGGTTGCTTCAGCACAGCCCTAGAAAATTCCGTTGGAGGCCTGGTTCCAGGCCCCCCATGGCCAATCGTTGGATGCCCTGCTTGTTGCTGTGCTGGTGTAGATCCACCAGCCAAAGAGCCAAAGATTCAAGTATGAAAGCACCGTGTAGAGCACCTATCCAATGCTATCAATTTGAATGATCTCCTGGTGATTCCCCATATCAAGCACCATACCACCATGACCATGGTGATCTTCCCAGTACGAGGTCAATGAAAAATGCAGAGAGATGCAGAGAGTATATCTATGCTCAGTTGTCTATACCATTAACTATATAAGTTGAACCATAGATTATCAATGATCATCAATAATCAATCACATATAATGAACTATAGTTTATACCACGTTAATCCATTTTAGACCTATCAATAGCAGCTATAACTGGCTATAACTATGGCTTCTTGGCCACTCCAAGTCAGTTGGGATGTTTTTTCCAAGGCGCAACAAGCCGCTGCCCAGCTCCTGCGCCACGGATCTCTCCGTGGCCGTAGGGCCACCCGGGCCACTCTGCTGGGACCAGGCCTAGGGTCTGGGCCACGTGGGAAAGATACAAAGCGATTAGCTTCGAAATGGATATGATAGTAGTAATAGGATGTAATAGGATGTAATGATGATATGATAATTCCAGCAATTCAAAATCATAAGTTACATAAGTGAAAAATATATGATCGTAGTAATGGGTAATGTCAACCGCGGATTAATAAACCATGGTTTATGAATTAGGGGGTGCTCCTGCAATAGTCATAATCTGATACCTGAATGGTACACCCCCAATTAAACAGCCTAAGGGTTTATTAATCCGGGGTTGGCATTCACAATGATTATACTAGATGACATGATAATAATAACAGGTCAAGATGAAACAGATATATAACATAATGCTACTAAAAATAAAACTTAGAAACTAGTTCCAGGTATGAACATGACATACAATGTGTTGTTCCGCATAGATGTGGAAGCAAGGTCCAACATCTTTTCCGGGCATGTGATTAGCACTCCCCCCCAAGATGCACAAGTTGGATGCCTGGAAGTTAAGGTGAAAAAATCATCGAACTACCATCCTGGAAACACGTTTCTTTTTGGGGGGTGCTATAATGTAATCACACCTATAAAAGGGACTTGATTCATGGATGTCAACTTGAGACTTGTTAACGTGTACATATCATATTTACCGTATAACCTGTGGACATAGTACTTATAGTCATAGTAAAATACCTGTTGAACAAATAGATACATGGTCACAGGACATACATAATGCATTGAACCCAAAAAAACATCATCGACATCGACATCGACATCACAAACTTCCTCAAAACCGGCCTCGTTCAAGTGCTGTAGGACTTCCAGTACCTCACGGGTGCCTTCAAAGCCCTTGTACTTGTGTTCCTGACAAAGACAAGGCTGGGGCAAATCGGGCATGAATTGGCAGTCAAAAACCTGATGTTCTTTTTGGTTTCCCTTCAAAAAAACTGGCTAATGAATGTTGATTCCCAAAAAAATGGTGACAATAGGTTCCTATCCGATCCTATCCTCATGGTTGTGACCAGGATGCCAAACACATTCAGTAGCGCATCTGCCTTGAAACAATCAAAGTAAACATTCAAAGCAGCAAAGGGGCCTCAACATGCCTCAACATTAAACCAGTGTCTGAGTTCAGTTTTCTGTTGGCGGCTCTGCCTGCGTATCTTCAAGCACTGATGTCCTGATTGAAAGATATCGATTTTTCAAATATGTTTCATTGGGAATTCTCAGAGGTCAGAAGATCGTCAGGAATTGGCCTCTCATCCCTTTTGTGAATGATGTGAATGCTCTATGTATCCTGAAGTTCTAGCCCCACGATCTCTGCAACTTTTTTTAGGCACCACAATTTTGTCGAGGTCCACTGCCCCAAGACTGTCTGATGGATTAACCATGGTGGGCACCACGGCAGGTGCTCCTTGTATGGATGCTGCTGACACCACCAGTTCAGAATCATATTCCGGCCAATCGAGCCCTGCACCGCATGCCACCAAAAGATGGGGAGGTAGAACAAGTCCCCCGCTTTCAAATGTACCTCGGCGATCCTAGATTGGACAATGCCAAACACCTTCCACAAACGTTGGTTTTTTCTCCAAACCAAAGCTATAAGAAAATAAAATGAGAAGAAATCAATGGAATATAATATACCAGGAAAGGATAGGAAAGGATCTTCTAAAAGCAAACCATACATGAATGAGCAAATGGGCGACAAATACCCAAAATCCCAATCAGATGGTTGGAACACCAATTCATGGAGATGCATGGCGACCTACCATTACCACCAAACACGAAATGGCTCACCACATGCAGAATGCAGGGCTGCAACAATGCGTGATCTGCAACTACTGTAGGCTATTGATCTTAGTTGATGGCGTCCTCCAATTACGTTGGCATCAAATGCTTTCGCATCTGAAGAAGAATCTAGCAAAACCATCGGTCACATCTGTCAACGCATCAAGCACACACAAATAAACAACTTGATGGTTCTCTGCTTTAACTAGTGGCAACACTGGGTATTTTGTTTGTCTCTCCTGGGTATGTCATCCGTTCCAACTGCAAAAACTGCCGCAGTGTCGCAGTAGTAACTCTCTGCCTTCTCTGTTTAGCTGAACTTGGGCCCGCTACGTATTTCATATATATATATATATATAAATATATATAAATATATATATATGTATATGTATGCACACACATCACACACACACACACATATATATATCTCTCTCTCAAAGTCACACAGCTGATTTCGAAGCACTAAACTCCACCGCGCTCTTTTTCCATCCTCTGCCAAGTCAATTTTGTTTTCACCCGCTCTCCTCGGGTTTGCCTTGGATCCGTCACTGTGTGACACGTGCGCAGCCCCAGACCAGTATCCACTGCTGGTCAAAGGCCACCTGGTCACCCCAGGTTGGAAAAGTAGAAACAATGAATGCTATTTTGGGCCAACTCCCACTTGAGCCAAAATGTGGCATTCATTGGACCACTTAAAGATAAACCATGCACACCCAAGCCTGCCAAGCTCAATGCACGAATATATATATATATATATAGATATATATATAGATATTACATTGTCGGGTGCAAACATGATAAACATGTGAAATTGGAGGGGTTCCCGTATTCTCATTCTCCGAAGTTGCACGCTGGGGCCGCGCATGTTTGTAGCAGGACCAGTTCTTGTCCACGTCCTTCGGAACATAGGCTGGGTCCACGAAGGGTGGCACCAGCGAATTCAGGAACTTCTTCACCGTGGTGTGCATGCCTCAGATGGAGCTGGAGGTACACTATGCAGCAACAGTATGGTGCTAGAATAGACTACTCAACACTACAAAAGCAACTCATTTGTGGTGATATGAAACCAGTTTATGGATATCCAGGTGATATAATGGGATATAATGGAATATAACCCCCGCAGACAGGCGACCCATCCAATATTAAGGATTTATCAAGGGCTTGTTAGCAACCAAGAACCACGATTACAAGGGCGTACGAAGACCTAGTGTTGAAGCGGGGGTTGGATTGTTATGGGGTAGAGGTGAAGCATGGTTTACGGGGGATACAACTGTTAGATTTATAAACCAACTTACAACTGGGGGGCCTCACCCGTGATGGAATTGGAATTTCCTTTGCCAAACCTCAACTTCTTTGGACGTCAGTTGCACTGTTTGCTGAGGCATCCCGTCTCAACCACCTTCGGCCCAAGTCACATGCAGCATCACAAGGCGGATAGATATCCATGAACTTCTCGCCCATGACCACCAGCAGCAAATTTTCTGAGGGGTCTGCATGTAGGCAAGTGGTGTTGCCTCCACATCCGAAGTAGGTATGGACCTGACCCCACAAAAACGACAAAATCTGCTGCTTGGACATTCGCAGCACCGCTAAAGCGATGGTTGTTCAGCATCAAACACAAGACAAGTGGGGTTTGGGCGGTTTGGGGGATGTAGGGTAGTGACGGGTGTTTTTTTCGCATGGAGGCATCATCCTTGAATACCCATTGATAGATAGACATTATATTATATAGCTTGTCACAAGCGCGTCAAACTGTCTTGCCTTTTGATGCCTAACAGGGCAGATGCAAGTCCATTGTGTTGGATGATTGGTGATGATTCTTATATATGATCGATCCTCAGTCCGTCGTGAACTTCCAATGAACAATTTGCAGCAAAATCACCCAGTTGTTGATCGCTTCAGAGCACTACCCAACCCATCCCAACTTATTTTTTCGGAATTGGGAAGGCACAAAAATGACAAAACATGCAGGACTGACAGAAACTGCTCAGAACGAAATGCCTCAGGTTGTTTGAAATGGGAAGGGGCAATTTTACAAGCCACTGCGGAGGACCCCTTCCAGATCCTTCCAGTCTCTGACTCAACGCATCTCTGTCAAGCGGCCCCCTTGTTGTTCTCGCCAAAGCAGCTACCATATTTTCCTCGTCGCCATCAAGGTCAGAAAAATAAGTCCGCAGGTCCGCAGCCCGCCAATGCCCCAAGTCACATACATTCATGGACAACTCATTTTCTATATATACATGAATCATCGAGAAACAAAAAGTGGTTCAGTGGTTCATTGCCATCTTGGATTACAAAAATCATGATAAAGAAGCATGACCTCCACTTCGAGAAAAAAAACACCAATTCCGCCCAAGCATCTCCATGGCGAATTTGGTGCATTGCAAATGTCATCAAACATTTCGGGCACATCGGTGTGCAGCGGCAGTTTGCCCATATACCAGGAGATGCACGTCTCGTGCTCCTCCGCAACTTCAATCAAATCCAAATAGTCAGAGATGCTGAGCTCCTTGGGTGGCAGCGAAAAACCTACCCTGGCTTTGACGTAGAAAATGGTGGAAGTACCACAAAAAACATGTATATATGAATGTCCAGTATAGGATTCTATAGTGAACATGATGATCAAATTGAAATTAACTGGTAAATTTAGGGGCGCGCATTTTTTTCAGACAAACCCACATTGTCACATCGTGCATGTAAGGAATCAATGAAGGTGAGAGAAGTTTCAATCCATCCAGGTACCTGTTCGTGACCTTTTCACTTCCTGGAGGCTACTAGACGCATGCATTAGCAATGACTGTGTTTCTTGATGTTTCTTTGACTTCCAGACCGGTCAGTTTCAACGCCAACGATCACGTGGGAAAATGGAATCTCAAGACTCGCACGTTTGTGGTGGGAGGCAAATGAGCAAAAAAGAATTGCCCATGACGTAAGATATGGAGAATCAACTTAGCTAATAGCAGCTATATAATGAGATACTTTTCATTTGGCTGGATATGACATTCCATTTGTAGCTGAAAGTACCGCAAGTACCCCTTTTCCAACCAAACCATGGTTTTCCAGCAGGAGAATTATCCGCCCAAATGGCTCGCTCCAAGCGTCAATCGTGGGATCATTCAGAAAGAGTTGTCTTCCTTTGTTGTCCCAGCAGGAATCGCCTTTCACCTTGACGTAGCGATGACCGCAGCGTTCCCGGAGATAATCAAAATCCGCGAAATCGAAGAAGGGCGGGAAATCATCTGCGTTCACAGCATCTTCAATGACCACAGGCTGATTTCGAAGAACAAACTCCCAGACCTGACCATGGCAAGCTGGTTTGGGAAACTGAAACCAACATTTTGAAACTGGCCACCATCTTTTTGGGTACAATGCCTGGGCCTCATCGAGTTTCAAACTTTTGGTACTAATTCGCCAAGTACCCTCAAAACAAAACAAAGGATTGGCTGGTCATGTCTGAAACATTGCTTTCATGCAGCCTTACGTTCAAATCGTCCTGAAAAAATTATGTGGTCAGGGAGGTCGTTTTGGGGAAAATAGAAAGGTCCATATAACATTACCTATTTGTTGTGAACAAGACTGGGTGCCCATTCATGTGGAAAACCAAAGGAACCAATTGTATAAACGCAATCCTACTCAGGCTTATAAACCGTGCGGCATGATCAAGTTGGGTACATTTTTTTTTCACAGGATTTGCCACGCACCAGCAGCCAGTCTGACAAGGGCACAAGGCGGCAGCCTGTATCTACACCGATATTTCAGCGATTTGCCTTCGGTAGAAGATCCAGTCTGGCAGAACAACCGGGCATTTCTCCCTTAACTTTCCCTCTGGCAATCAAACATGACAGAAAGACATCAATCACCAATTTGTCGATTATATATTGATTACATATAAATATATATATATATATATCATCCTGCTAAAAATGATGTTTTCCGAGCTAAGCCATGGCAAACATGGCCATCCGGTGCCCCCGTTGAGAACCCCGCTGAAAGCCCCGGGGCGCCTGCGCGGCGCTGGGGCGCTTCAGGCGCGCCACGGGCAGCGGCTCGTTGCTGATCATGTGCTGCGGAGCCAGGCCCAGGCGCTCGTAGGCAGCCCAGGTGCGCAACAGGCCGCAGGTCAGACCTAACGCCACAAAGGTTGAGAATGGCGATCGTTTTTTGAGCGATTTATTGAGTAGATGATGGGAAAACATAAGATGATATATGAATATACTGAATATAATATAAACATATATATATATGTGTATAATCATGATATTATATATCATTTTTTTAGTGGAAATATATATATATATACATATATAAAAATATGATATATGGAAAAACATAAGTCAGTTATAGATGATGAGATGTGACTATGTTTGGCAAAGGCCAAGATCGTGCCCCTAGATGGGGAAGCAAGTTGCGTGGGATTTAAACATCACAAATGCAAATGTAGTATTTGCCAAAGGACCGTAGGGATATCTATAATATTCTATAATAACATAACATATATTATATATAAACATTATATACATTTATATACTATATAGTGGTGGTGCCCCCAAACGATAGCGAAACTGGTTTCTTTACCAACATTTCACTAGGGCCGTTTATGGTAGATATGTCGAACTGATGAGGTTTATGAAACACTGGGCACGACCTTGGAACTAGTCACCAAAAAAATCTGTGAAAAGGGTGTTGAATTTACATGGTTCTATTTCAGTAACATTTCACTCGTTTCATCTTCGTGGAAGTGGCTTCCTCGGATATCGGATCGGGTGTCTTTCACTAATCTTCCATCTGTACCAAGCTCTTCCGGTTCCATCCAAGAATAAAGATTCCATATGCAATCACTACCAAATCAGCCAGACAACCATTCCTTACATTCAAATCCATCCATTCCACCTAGAAATCCATTCCATCCCAACAAACTCCCAAATTCATGTTCTATGACTGTAATCAGAGATAAATCCTATATAAATCCTATATTTTTGTTCTAATATTCCTATATAAATCCATAAAAATCCTATGTAAATCTATAAGAGTTTCTAATTCATTCCTATACAAATCATATAAATCCCATATAATTCCTATAAATCCTGTAAAACTTTCTAATATTCCTATATAAATCATATAAATCCCATATAAATCCCATGTAAATCTATAAGAGTTTCTAATGTATTCCTATATAATTCATATAAATCCCATATAAATCCATATAAATCCCATACAAATCCTATGTAAATCTAAAAGAGTTTCCAATTTATTCCTATATAAATCATGTAAATCCAAATAAATACATCTAAACCCTATGTAAATCTATAAGAGTTTTCTAATTTAGTCCTATATAAATCATATAAGTCCTATATAAATCCTATATGTAAATCTATAAGAGTTTTCTAATTTATTCCTATATAAATCATATAAATCCTAAATAAATCCATATAAATCCTATGTACTAATTTATTCCTAAATAAATCATAAAAATCCTATATAAAATCCTATAAATCCATGTAAATCCATAAATCCCATATAAATCTTATATAAATCCTATAAAAAGTTTCTAATATTCCTATATAAACCATATAAATCCTAAATAAATCCTATAAAAGTTTCTAAATTATTCCTATATAAATCATAAATCCCATATAAATCCTATATAAATCTTGTGAAAGTTTCTAATATGCCTATATAAATCATATAAGTCCTCTATAAATCCTATAAAAAGTTTCTAATATTCCTATATAAATCATATAAATCATATAAATCCTATATAAATCCTATATAAATCCTAATAAAGTTTCTAAATTATTCCTATGTAAATCATATAAATCCATATAAATCCATATAAATCCTATATAAAACCTGTAAAAGTTTCTAATATGCCTATATAAATCCTATATAAATCCTATAAAATTGTTTAATTTATTCCTATATAAATTCATAAATCCCATAAAAATCCCATAAAAATCCCTATGTTTGTCTTATGTGTTGTTCCATTTTTTCTACCCCAATCCACCCGCCTCCAGGAGGGTTCCTCTCCTCCTTCAAGCGCCGTGCAGCGATGAGTCCCCGCGCCCGCGCGGCCTTCTCCAAGGGCGTCTCCTTAGGCGCAGCACTGGGAAATCACCAGGTTTCAAGGGAAAAAACGTGGGAAAAAACGTGGGACATGGGAAATCCCCAATTTCTATGGGGAAATTGGACTGGCTATTTCTGTGGGAAAATCCTGGGAAATCCCCAGGCTCGGCCATAAAAATGGGACAATCCTGTATAAGTGGGGTACGAACATCTCTGGACCCAACAACATAGGTGGTATATACGGTTTTTGCTTTGGATGGCTACGTGCATATAAAGGATTGGCTAGTACCCAGAGATCCAGAGACAAATTGTTTTCCCCCCGATACTGGTTCACCCCAGTAGGGTAATTATTGTTAGTCGGTCCAATTGTAACTGGGATTATACCCTCTGATACACATACAAAAAACTATGGAACATCATCATTTTTTATGGGTAAATCAACTATACATGGCTATTTTCAATAGCTATGTTAGTTTACCAGAGGGTAACCCACTTGCTAGCTGGGGCAAGGGACCAAGCAATATTGCAATCAGCAAATTTCAAAATTGTGCTGCAGAACTAAAGCGAAAGCGAAGCGTATGGCCTGGCTCCAGATGCAATCTCAAGACGTTACTGCAAACTGCATCTGAATTCAGACCCAAAAACCGCTACATAGGTTTGTCATGGTTTGTCTGAACATACATTCTCTAAGACTCAATGGATATCACTTTTCCGATTATGCTGGCCTATTGCTAGCATACACATTTTCAGACACACCCATATCCGAATACGTGATGAATCATGGATGCATACCACACGTGTTGTCCATGCCTGTTGCTTCACATCATCCCCCATTTGACCATCCATTATCATTGATCCATCCCCAAAGCCAGCCCAGTGTCGCACTTCAGATTCAACAGGAACTCTTCGACTTCGATGCCACTGCTATCCCCAGCGGCAGTGTAGATGCAATTCAGGAAATCTTCCGCTTTCACCTCGCTGCTATGATTAATCAATATTACAGTCATCATGAATGTAGGACAATTGCCATGATAGAATTATAACATCTTGGCATTGTTGCCTCTATCATGGCTAAGATGCTACGACTTACCAGGACTTCCGAACGCTGGAAGTCATCAGTCATCAGCCCTTTGCGGGTGGAAACAAAACATCTTTGCAACCACCGATTTAGATGATGTTTTGATAATCAAGATAAATCAAGATAAATCAAGATATATGTAGAATTGCTGTCCTTTGTTTGATAACGCATCCCAGCAAAATCCAGCAAATATCTGATGATGTAGATTGATTTCTAGTCACTAGTTTCAAACATGCATATAATGCATAAACCATGTGACATGTCTGTATAATTCTGTATATATCCCAGATTTTTCTCAGCAAATCCTCCACTCTCAGCCCGGACCTCCTGGATGATGTTCTGCAAGGGGCTCATTCCCAGCAGCATCAGCGCCTGGCACTGCGAAGGTTGGAAAGTCATCGCAGGGTCAGCTGGAGAAATCTAGAGCTTACACAGAATAGCATGGATATTAAACTTCCTTATCCATTTGTAGCTAAATAGAGATGCGAAGGGAATGAAGTTTAATATCCATGCTATTGTAGCTAAGAGAAAAATAGAGATATTGTAGCTAAGAGAAAAAATAGAGATGCGAAGGGAAATCCAGCCATCACGCCCCGCCGAATTGAACATATTGAACATGGGAAGCCATATTTCAATCACATACAAAGGGGAATAGTCATCCATCATGCCTCAAAACATCAGGCGCGCCTCGTCGGCTAAGCACCGAATTTCCACGTCACCTGTGGTTGGTCGCTTCTCAGCAAAAGAACAGTTTAGAACTCCAGGGGGCGCAGTGCCAGGTACCTAAGACCTCGTACAAATCGCCAATTCTTTTTGGAGCAATTATAAACAGTGAGAAAAAATGATGTCCCATTGAAACTTTCATTCATATATAACTTACAACCCACCTAAAAAGCCATTGAACAACTTATATCAACTTATCCCATTTTTGTGCCACAAAAAAAACCTGGTGTCAACCCCGCCGCAGATCGCCGCCTTCGGTGATGGCCCGCTGCACTTCGTTTTGGATGCGCTGCAGACCCTCAGAGGTGCCTGGCAGCCCGTAGGCTTCCGCGATGTCCGTCTGGCAGGGCCATAGGACTTCCTGCCGTTGCGGGGCGGCCCGACTCTGTTTGAGGTGGAAAAGCGATAGGGATCCATAAAGATCCTAGCTATTTCATAATTTGTGTGGAGATTCATAATGATTCATATAGGTGTAGATTATTGTTTGGTGAGAGGATACCGGGAGCAAGATGATGCAAAATGCAGAGATCAAGAGCAGGGGAATCAAGTAAAGCTGCTGGCTATGACAAGATTGGTGATTTCTATTCTAAATAACCATTCAGGCCAGCAACTTTCGCAATAGAAAGCTGGCAATTTCTCGTGCGGGCATCAACCCAGGAAAAATACCGGAACATTGAAGCATTTCATTCATTGAATGAGTGTTAAGGCTGGCCAGAATCGCTCAACAGTAAGTCCTCAGGGCTTCATCATCCTCTCATCCCAAACAAAGGAAAAAAACAAATCAAAAGAGGAAACCGACCAACAGCCTGTAATTAATTATACCAACTATCTATGTAAGTCTATGTTCTGGCTCTTTCTGTTGCGGTGAAGAAACTGGGACATCAGCCACCCCCAAGTTCCATGATAAGTCACCCTCAACTCGGCCATGTAGTCTTCCGACCCGCCACCGTTCGAAGCGGCTTTCCGTTGCTTCTCGTAAACACTACGGATCTTCCTGGTGAACGGGCGCAACGGGCGCAACCACGCAGACCCATTTGATTGTGTCATGTTATGTCAAATGACTTTATATAAACGCATTGTCACTACTCAGTCCAAAACCACTTATATCTCAGAGTTAATCTACTCAAAACATCTCAAATCCCAAGCGCTTCATCCTTGGCCTCCTTAATGGTACTTTAACATCATTACATGGTGGTTAATCATGCAAAACAAAACGGCCCCCCACCTTTGACACCTTTGCCATGGCCATCCCACCAAATCCATCGTTCCACGGCTATATGCACATGCACATATCTACATACTTGTCGAAACCTAAAATTCCCCTACTTAACACACCCATATACAATCACACACACATAATTATATATATACATTGATGTAAAGATATATGTACACACATCAATAAATAATTACATATATATATATATATGCATATTAAAAACACACACACACATTTGTGTATATATATATACACAAATAAATACATATACAAATATCACTATATATATAATATATATAAACCACCATCTATCCCAAACGCTGTATAGTAGCGCCCAAGGCACCGTTGCAGCTCCGGCTCGCTGTAGGCCGCGATGAGCTCCGCCACGATCTCCCGCAGCTCCTCGACGTCCAGGGAGCGCCCGGCGCCGCTGCCCGGGGACTGCAGCAGGATCACGGCGTCGCGGACGGAGGAGACGGGCAGCTGGGCGGTGCTGATGACGTCCTGAGGATGGTGGGGCCTGGTGGGGTGGGGATGGAATGGTTGTGGTTTTGGTGAAGATTGTTTTTTTCGGGATGGATAGTTGCGGGATCCTTTGGAGTGATTTTGAGAATGAAGAAATTTGTGGCTGGGAGATTGGGGAGATGGATTGGGTGTAGAATGATGTAGAATGCATGTTATACCTACGTTATACTGTCTTCATGGGTTAGAAGTAAGCTACTTCTTCATGGAATATCCCTGTGTGATCATCATTTTCCTATCACATCATCAAAAAACATGGTGGTATTTTAAATGTATCGTTTCGCAACAACAAATCACACATATTTCATCCTGCTTGGTGGCTTTGCCAAAAAATATGAATCAGCCCTTTTTGTAAAGTTAAACAGCATATTTGAACCCGGCCCCAACCAAATCAACCTCATTTTCAGATCCAGATCCAGATCCTCTGCTCCCCCCCGTCGTTCCTCGATGGGTTTGGAGTTGCAGTGGACCTTCTCCATCTGCCGGGAGGCCTCTTCGCTGATGTTGGAGATAGAGCCCCACTGCACCTCCCACGGGAAGGGGAGGGGAATATAGATCTGCTAGAAATTAGGGACGTGAAATTATCGCAGTTAGTCATGGGAATTTTCTGAGAAGTTAATAACATTAACAAAACCCCAAGAACCCATGAAATATCAATCTAGTGAGAATGGGATATCCACCAACTGCAGGTAACTGCAGGGGCTGAAGCCCCAGTCAATATCTCAAACATTAAAGTGATCTCGACACACAACTAACTAATCACTAGTCAACATATATTAGATTATGTTGTGGGTCAGTGGGTTATCTATGGTTATCTGGGGTGTGAGGATTTTTTTGATGATGTTCATCTCCATGTTGCCCACGTGAACATCACCGTCTCCCTACCTGAACATCCTTCAAGAAGGATGGAGCTAAAGCCATGAGCCTCACCGGCCTCACCTATTCGCGCCGTTTCGCATCGCCCGGGCCGTGGCCAACAACCACCGCGGTTTCTTTATATGCCAAACACCACAGGTGTCTACTTGGGCTGGTGGCAGCGGCATGTCAGTCGGTTTGTGTCATGTATATGAAGGCATTAAATGGATCTCGGATATTATATCATATTGGTGCTCCCTTCTGGGCTTTGACCACTAATCAAAGGGTCAAAATTGCGTACCCTCAAGACCAGCACGCTGATGCTCAAAATTCAGCAGTCAATATGTGGGGACATGCGGGTCTGGATTTTCACGCTTGGTGAGTTTCAGTGACAAGATAGACTCTTAGACTCGCTTCATGTGCATGTGAATACCTAAAATGATTCACAGGACATGGCAAACATTGGAAGATTGCCATGTGGGTTCGATCTTACCCTTTCCATTTGCTCTGTGTACGAACTAAATTGCTGTAATACTTCCTGCCAAACTGACTCAAATAATTAAAGCTGATGTAGATTGATGGAGCATACTTGGAAGATCATGCCATCCAGTAACTGCTCAATAATTTTGTGTCACAAATCCCCAATTCCTGGGTACTCTTAGCCCATTCATGGCTGGGTTACCCCCGAAGTCACCACCATTGCTTCCAGCCTCTGAGGACAAGTCGGCAATGCGATCTGAGCGCAACCTGCGAACAAATCGTCGAAGGAATTTCCCAACACTACCTCCCCATAATTAGATTGTGGTTCCACTTGAATACCCAAAAAACAATTAATTATATAATAAAAGGTATGCATCCATGTACTATGATTGATTAAATTAGATTGCAGTATATTATCGATACCTTGGCCCCTAACAGCCCTAACACATTTGCAGCCCTCAAGCACAGGCCGCCTGTGCATCTGTTGACGCAGTTCCGTCATCTCGATCATCTGTTCAAAGAAGTCGTCTGCGATCATGATGACTCCTGCCTTGGCTGAAAAAAAGGTGATACGAAAACTACCGTGGTTGATTGGGTTGTTTAATAGGGATTTAACCATCAATAATAGAGGTTTATGATGTTCTAACTATCAAAGATATGGTTGATATAGTTGATAAATCATTGTTGGGCTGCTTCATGGTGAGTTTAACCAACAAAATATGGCATATAATAAAGACAATTCATGTGGATAGCATTGATAGATGACTGTTGATTGGTTAAGGACTAAGGAGGTATACTAGCTAGTAGGCTTTACAAGCTAGTAGGTTTTTGGGGATTATGAACTCCCATATGAATGGGAACACTATCAACCAAATATAGTATAATGAAATGGGATATTGGTATTTTTGATGGCTCACTTGCTGGCTAGGGAGTGTCCGGGTGAAGCTCGTGAACAAACATATTGAAGCGTGCCTCAATCATCAAGATGTATCAAAAATAGAGACACAATTTTGATGGATTATGCATTCGATAATCTTCAAATATTCATTAACATATTCTTCTTTCTTTCTGAAGCTCATTCGAATAAATGCTACCTATTCTCTCTCGTGATTTTTTGGGACGATTTGAGAACCGTGGGACATCGTGGGACTTCACAGAAATCCCAAAAACCATGTAAATCCTACACCATGTTGGAGGCATCTGGATCCCAACCGGGCGATCCAAACATGGAGGTCGTGCTCACAGTTCCGCACCACGATGGTGTCACAAATTTCTTCGATGATATCATCGAGTAAACGCCTGGCGTTTTACGGCGTCCGATAGGGCATGAAAATGGTGGTAGAAGATCTGGTCAAACAAAGGGATACCCTCTGGTAAACTAACAGTTTGCTATGGAAAATCACAATTTTTTATGGGTAAATCCACTATAAATGGCTATTTTCAATAGCAAACTGTTAGTTTACCAGAGGGTAAACCAACACTTCATGGGCAATGTGAAGGTTCCACTCCTTAGGGAACTGGGCTATGGAAGATTTAGGAAGATCGCTGCCCATCGGAAACTTCCATTCCCCACCATGGTCGGACCCCAGTTTCTTGATGTCTCTTGGCTTTTTGACCACCATGAACCCTTTTGAATATCTTTATGAACAACTAGCCTAGTAACGCCAGCCGCCAATTGAATTGTATCTTAACTATATGTTTTTTTTGGCTTAGTTGAGAAGCCCAGAATATACTCATTCCCAGCAACGGTGCGTAGGTAGAAGAATGGTACTGACATCATCTGACATTCAATCAATGGGATAATTGTTCATCGTTTTTTGGTCTCGTAATGACTCATAACTATTCATGTCAATATATCCAAATATAGGCTATATGAACACGAGCTATATCAGTTGTTCTTAATGACCCAATAACTTGTCAATATATCAAATTATAGTTGTTACTGATAGTTAGCTGTTAAATGCTATTAACAATATATCCATGTATATATATATGATGCCATTGTAGTTACTGATGGTTAATATCCACAAATATCCAATTATAGTTACTGATGGTTAATAACCATAAATATCTAAATTATATCCACTACTTGTCATATATATATATATATCCCATTATAGTTACATGCTTGGTGGTATACCTACCCCTCTGAAAAATATGAGTTCGTCAGTTGGAATTACTATTCCCAATATATGGAAAAATAAAAGCCATGTTCCAAAGCACCAAGCAGTTACGGATGGTTATTGATAGCATCTATAGTGTCAATAACCACCTTGGCGTTCGCCATGGGATTTGCAGAGCTCGCTCGCCTCTTGCGTCGGATCTCCTCCCCGATGAAGCACATCGTGGGTCGGATTTGCAAGGCGACCTGCAGGGACGGAAAGCAACCAGTGATTTCATGGGGATTTCATGGGGATTTCATAGGTATCACTGATCTAAATGGATCTAATGGGGTATATGATACAGTATCTAAGCTTTATGACTCAACAATATCTGGTTGGTGGTTGACCTACCCCTCTGAACAAAAATGATGGACTTCGTCAGTTGGGATGACATTCCATTCCCAGCTGAATGGAAAGTATGGAAAGTCATAATCCAGCCATGTTCCAAAGCACCAACCAGATATGTATGGGCTATTTCATGGGGATTTCATATGTATAAGTATGGATCTAGTGGGGTAAATCACCATGATTTGGGATTGTCTGGGCTCCAGGAACTCACCATGTCTGGGCAATCCGCGAAGTCCGCGAAGTGGAAGTCTCTACGGGAGATCATCCATGGCAAGGGATGAAAAACAAGGCCCAGCTGTGGTTGAAGATGGACATCAGAAAATGGAAAATTCGACATAATTCGACTCGACTGTTCTTGAACAAACTTTGAAGCTTTTGCTTACGGACATGACCACTTTGAAGGGTCCATTGAAGGGAGATACTAAAATATAATACTGTATATAATATGTCTCAAAGCTCTTACTTTACAAGCATCTCTCAAGTTGATTTCCTGCCTTCAAATCTGCAGCATTTCAGCGAAAAAACACATTCCATCAGCAACCAAACTGCTGACAGTTGCTACCATATACAATGGGTTATATACATATAAACCATATAACTATAATGTAATATATAAATATCTGCATGCATTTTTTTATTGAATATATCCCCTGCATGTCATATATATATATATATATATCCATGTTCCCACATGTTTTGCCATATCTCAAGCATCCGCCCGCCACAAAAAACCCTGCCATTGTGCCTCAATGGTGAGAGTCTTGGAACCGCATGCCACGAAGTGATAAATGTCACGGTCTAAAGCTTGCCTGATCACCAACTGGATGTGCATATATAGTTGCTTTTAAACTCATCCTAAAATTTAACATCTATCAGAATCTATCATCACTGGATGTGCATGATTGCTGGATGTGCATCTGATCGCAACATTCTTGTTGACTTTCCTTTCATTCCATGAATGGATCAATTTAACTGGTGAACTCGCCGTGTCACCGATGTGTCTTTTTTGCGGAGCTCCCAGCTGGGGAGGTAGAAAAAGTGCCAGTGCTTTCAGCCCCACTACAAACTAAACTGCAAAAACACATGAATCAAATATAACCAACTTATGGTTTGCAATCCCATCTTCAGTGAATTTCATCACGAATTCTTGTCAGTACCGGGGTGTATGGTGTAGAAGTACTTGATGATCCTTCCCATGATGGTTTATTATATAAATCCCGGTTAAACCATCAGAACCCCCGAAAAAATGGGTGGTCAAAGCCCGTGTGACACGTGACCCCGGCCTGCTGAGGGCGAGGTTCCCAGCCACCTCGCACAAACAAGCGCAGGCGCTATCGAAGCCTCGGAGGTGAAGGGACAACTGATTCTTGGCCACAACTGTACCCTCTGGTAAACTAACATAACTATGGAAAATCACCATTTTTAATGGGAATATCCACTATAAATGGCCATTTTCAATAGCTATGTTAAATTACCAGAGGGTAATTCAATGACTGGTTGATGGTTTTAACCATCTTGAAAAATATGAGTTCGTCAATGGGAAGGATTATCCCATATATTGTGGACAATAAAAAATGTTAACCAACCAATAATTCAATTAACTATCAATTCCATATCAAATCTGTAACTATGGTATGAATCTAAGAAATGGGCGCGCATATATGGTGGAAACACAATGCAACACCTGTGCATATGTGCAGAAAGCCATGGTTTTTACTGGGGATTCCGACCGCAGATTTCATCAAATGTTCAAATTATTGGAGAAAATGAATGGGCAACAGGTGCAGTGTGATGGGCCCCAATCCCAGGATATACAGCACTCATCACCTGGTGACCCTTGGAAGGCTTTCCTGTCACTGAAGGGTGGCTTTGGTCGCAATGGTACTACATCTAATAGCATTTTGGTCGCGATCCATGTGGCGTGAAGTGACCAGTCCCTGGATGCAACCTTGTTAATTCTTCTTATGTATGCCATTGCATGCCCATTCCCAGTTGCTGACTCTGGATTCTGGACGGTACACTTTCCCTAGCGCCACTAGGTGCTGGGCCCAAGTTCGTCTCGATCCATCCGGGACTGCGCACCTTGAGATCTGCAGGGGTTGATGCAGATAGTCATGCAGCAAAGGGTAGAACCGTAGAACCCCATGACTCAATGATTTCTCTCTGGTAATCCAACCTGGCAAAAAAAAACAGCCTCAAGTTGTACCAGAATTACTCGTTGAAACTCGGAAAGTCCTGGAAGTCCACCATTTCTTTCCGCCAATTCCCGCTGAGTGGATGAGACCCAACCACTGACGCTGTGCAAGATGCAGTTCACCAGTACTTGCGGCTTCTCCTGATGGGATGGCACCGTTCAAACAGCTGGTCATAACCATGCAATACCTTGGCAAAACCTCCAGGTTCAAGTGGTTAAATTATGGTAAATTAAATCATCTACACAATTTGATTTTTTTGTTGCATCGAGCAGGAGTTTGAAGCATTTCAACATGGCTAGCTATTTTTCCCGTGGTTCAGCGGCATGTTTAGCTGAGTTATCCCCCCATATCTGGGACACTTCCTGTATTTCCCAAACCAGGCCATCTGGGGATAATTTCAAGCAGCCGATTTCCATCATCGAAGTGGTAAGGTCATGGCAGTCTCTCTCTTGGTGATTTGAACGGCTAAAAGTTGGTTTAGAACTCCATCTAACTATGGAATACTATATGGATATAACAAATTCCCCACGAACTTCCATACACCCTGTAATACCCTGTAGGTAGTGTAGCTATAAACCATCTAAATATAGATCTATCTAACAGCCAAGTACAAATATAATTATCAAATATTATCCCCCATGAACATCCACAAACCATCATCAACCCCATATCACATATATATATATATATATATTGTAGTTATATATCATATAAACCCATAAACCATCATAAACCATCATAAACCATCATAAACCATCATAAACCCCCCATGAACCATCATATATCATGTAAAGTTATTGTAGTTCAACGTTCACCAACTTAATGATGTCCTCATGTCCTCCATCTTTTCGCTGTCTCCCGGGACTGCCGGCCTTTGTCAAGTGTTCGATGATCTTCCCAACGTGCGTCAGCTCACTGGGCCCGCACCTTGTGATGCACAGGTTGTGAGGAACATATCAATATGGAACCAATGGGTTTAAGATGCTTATGTAAGATTAAACGGGATGGTTAAGATTGGTTCAGTTGAGTTCTCTAGCATTAGCTCACTAGATGGCCAACTTTGTTTTAAATATCAAATAACTATATATACCATTAGTTTTATAATTTTGTAACACACACACAACATCGCAGAACTAATGAGTAAATGGGCACGGCAACTGGGTGATGATTTTCACGCGTTCCTTGAAAATGAGTGATAGTTGCGGATCATTGATCATCTCCACATGTAGGTTTCTATATTGGTAAATGGTTAAAATAAATGACCAAAGAAAGGCTGGCGACAAAGAAGCCTGAACTCCACATATATTCACCCGAACCCATCGTATGTTCCAGGACTGTCTAAGGCCCATGCGAATAGTTTTCCAAGCTTTCGAGCGGTGTTTTTAGCATATAGAATTTGAGTCAATGGTGAAGAGTTAGATGGAAGGGTGTGAGGCAAACTTGTACTGCCGGCACATCGGCTATCATCAAACATCTGAAACCCCCCAGTTAAGCCTTTACCAAATGAGCTGCAGCAAATATACAGAGCCTATCTATATACTCTACACCGTGCACACCACCCCAGCTACCCCTTTAGACTGCCACCTTAGTGCTGCCAATGGCACAAAAAAATCAAAGCATCCAAGCGCAGGTTTTCACAAAGGCGTGTGATCTGCCAGGTGCTGTTTGGATGTGTTGGGATGTGTTTTGGGGGATCTGCTGGGCAGGGACACAGGCAAATCAGTCGATGCAGCAAGCATTGGTCAGTTTACCATGTGGTAACCAAAGAATTCCGAAGATCTCTAAGAGGATGCGAACTGAGAATCCCAGTTCTCAAGTTCTAAACCACAGCACAGTCACCTACGACATGATGTCGCCCATAGGGCCCAGCCTGGTTCAGCAAGGTCTTGTTGACTCTCGCCAGAGCAATGGTTCTCAGCATATCGCTCCCGGCCTAGCATGTCCCTGGGCCCCTCGGGGACCATCACCATCTTCTCAATATGACTACCCTGCAAACAACATGTTTTTTTTGCGGGGAAGGATAGGATACCCTCTGGTTATGGCTAACATAGCCATGGTATAGATGGCCCATAGAAATAGATGGTTCATTAACAAGATGAAGCCCACGAACCCGAATGCCCACACGTATGTTAATGGTACAGATGTCAAAACACATGGTTAGGCAGTCACGCACCATACCTTTCTGTAATAGTTTATTTGAACAGTCTTGTACATGTTTCCCTTGTTACCAGTCTGCAGTGTGGAGTGGAAAGTGTAGAGTCTGGAGTGTGGAGTGTGAAGTAAGGAGTGTGGAGTGTAAAGTGTGGAGTGGGGAGTGTAGAGTGTGTAAAGTGTAGAATGCGGAGTGTAAAGTGTAGAGTGTGGAGTATGGAGTGTAAACTGTAGAGTGTGGAGTGTGGAGTGTAAAGTCTGGAGTGAGGAGAGTAAAGTGGAAAGCGTGGAGTGTAAAGTGCAAAGTGTGGAGTGTAGAGTGTATAGTGTAGAGTGTAAAGTGTAGAGTGTGGGGTGTAAAGTGTGGAGTGTAGAGTGTGGAGTGTGGAGTGTAAAGTGTAGAGTGTAAAGTGTAGAGTGTGGAGTGTAGAGTGTAAAGTGACGATTGTAAAGTGTGGAGTGGAAAGTGTGGAGTGCGAAGTGTGGAGTGTAAAGTGTGGAGTGTGGAGTGTAAAGTGTGGAGTGAGGAGTGTAAAGTGTGGAGTGTGGAGTGTAAAGTGTGGAGTGCGGAGTGAGGAGTGTAAAGTGTGGAGTGTGGAGTGTAAAGTGTGAAGTATAAAGTGTGGAGTGTGGAGCGTGAAGTGTAGAGTGTGGAGTCTGGAGTGGAAAGTGTAGTGTGTGGTGTGTAGAGTGTGGAGTGTGGAGTGTGGAGTGTAAAGTGAGGAGTGTAAAGTGTGGAGTGTGGACTGAGGAGTGTAAAGTATAAAGTGTGGAGTGTGGAGTGTACAGTAAAGTGTGGAGTGTGGAGTGCGGAGTGTGGAGTGGAAAGTGTAGAGTGTGGAGTGTGGAGTGTAAAGTGGGGAGTGTGGAGTGTAGAGTGTGGAGTGAGGAGTGTAAAGTGTAAAGTGTGGAGTGTGGAGTGTAAAGTGTGGAGTGCGAAATGTGGAGTGGAAAGTGTAGAGTGTGGTGTGTAGAGTGGAGTGTGGAGTGTAAAATGTAAAGTGTGGAGTGTAGAGTGTAAAGTGTAGAGTGTGGAGTGTAAAGTGTGGAGTGTGGAGTGTAGAGTGTAAAGTGTAGTGTGAGTGAAAGTGTAAAGTGTGTGGAGTGTAAAGTGTGGAGTGTGGAGTGTAAAGTGTAGAGTGTGGAGTGTGGAGTGTAAAGTGTAGAGTGAGGAGTGAGGAGTGGAAAGTGTGGAGTGTAAAGTAAGGAGTGTGTAGTGTAAAGTGTGGAGTGTGGAGTGTAAAGTGTAGAGTGTGGAGTGTGGAGTGTAAAGTGTAGAGTGAGGAGTGAGGAGTGGAACGTGTAGAGTGTAGTGTAAAGTGTGGAGTGTGGAGTGTAAAGTCTCAGGTGAGGAGTGAGGAGTGTAAAGTGCAAAGTGTAAAGCGCGGAGTGTAAAGTGTAGAGTGTGGAGTCTAAAGTGTAAATTGTGGAGTGTGGAGTGTAAAGTGTAGAGTGTGGAGTGCGGAGCTTCCCCCATAGAGACGGCGACGCCACAGGAAAACCGGAGATTTGAGACGAGACACGTGGGTGCAAAAAAACGAGCATTTCGAGCGAGACTTCCTCCAATTTTGATATTTTCCACACGTTATCAAACAGGTTGGAATGTCAGAAAGTGCCACGTCTGCCACGCAAAACAACATGACAACCTGCTTGGAAACATTCGAAAAGGACAGGTTTTCCAGCTTCCCCCATAGACTTCCTCCAAGTTTGAAATTTGTGAACATCATCAAACAGGTTGGAATGTCAGAAAGTGCCACGCCTGCCACGCAAAACGGCAGGACAACCTGCGTGGAAACATTCGAAAAGGAGAGTTTTTGCGGCTTCCCCCATAGACATGGCGACGCCACTGGAAAAGGAGAGACTCGCGACAGAGCACGTGGATGCAGAAAAAACAGCATTTCGTACGAGACTTCCTCCAATTTTCACAGTTGGCAACATAACAAAAAGACAAGTTTTGCAGCTTCCCCCATAGACACGGCGAGGCCACGGGAAAACCAGAGACGCGAGACGAGACAGGTGGGAGCACCAAAACGAGCATTTCGTGCGAGACCTCCTCCAATTTTCACACTTTGTAGCTTCAAAATCGACGTTTTCCTACGAGTTTTCCTTAGAACCTGAAAATTTGCAACCTCAAAATCGATGTTTCGTGCGAGGCTTCCGTCAATTTTCAGCACATAGCACAAAATGCCACGCCTGCCACGGAATTTGCACCTTGTCGCCACTTGACGCAGCCCTGCCAATGCGATTTACAAAAAACACGCAACACGACACGTCTAAAGTGCTGCGCCTGCCACGAAAAATGACGATGGACACGTCCAAAGTGCTGCGCCTGCCACGAAAAATGCAAGACATCTTGTGAAAACGTCGCGAAAGTATTGCACCTGCCACACAAAACGACTTTCGACACGTTCCAGAACACGTCTGAATGTCACGAAGTGCCACGCCTGCCACGCGAAACGAAGCAACGACACGTCTGAAACCTCCAAAAATGACCGCCTCTGCAGAACTTCCCATAGGCACGGCCATATGGTCCTCGCGCGGACGGTTGCGGACGGTTGCGAACGGTTGCGACCGTGAACGCAACGTCGAGCGAACACACCCTCAACCCCCAGACCCCCAGAGTGAAACGGGAACCCTTGCTACGCATTCGGGAAAAATGGTGATTTTCCATGGCGAACCGTTAAATAACCAGAGGGTAGGTATAGGCCTATTTTCTGACATACATGCAAATAGCACACAATTGGCCCTTGCGATTTGCCAAACCAACATTAGCATAGTGCAGCTCCCAGCCTGGTTGATAAAGATATTGTAGGCCCTCAGTCAGCACAAAAACTCTTCTGTGATGCTATATGTGGATCTTTTATTTTTGATGAACGCGGTTGAAACAAAGTGGCAACAACCAAGTAGTGATGAAGGTGATTGGCACCATTGGCACCTATTTATCCCTAACCCCCAAGCACTGATTCAGCTCCAAAACCTCATTGAGGCCCTCTATCTAACAACACAATTTCCAAGGTGTTCCTCCATAGCATCTATTTTGACAATGCTTTTCTCGGTTTGTTCACAAGGTTTGGTCCAATATTCATCATTATTCATCCAATATTTCAGCATCATTTCACTGGCCTCTGTCCCCAAAACGTCTCCAGTCTCAGGCGCTGGGGTTTGTCGATATCGAACTCGCTGCCTTTGAAACTCCGAATGCCCAGCAGACGGGAACCAACCATCTCCTGGTCACGAAGCTACAAACGTTGCTGATGGAACTGATACCCATACCGAGAGTCAAGGAAACCAATTTTACGGTTCTAGCGTTCAATTTCAAGAATGAGGTCAAATATCTTAAAAATATGCTGGTCCTTCGTGTTCCATCCGTTTCCTAAATTTATTTTAGTTTGTGCAGCATATGTTTTAAATTTTTACCATAATCCATTGCCCACAAGCTCATCGTGTATATATATATACCTTTGTGATTCCATTGCCATGTTAACTTTTTGAAAATCCCACGAAAATATCACAACCTAACACAAATCCCAATCAAAAACAAATTTCTCACGGGTGAAACTCCCGTTAAACCCCTTAAAATGCGATCAACCTCACGCTCCCATTAAAGACCCATCAAATTGCCATAAAATTCTGCTTCAAACCCCATGGGTATCATAACAATTATCCATTAAACAAAAACTCATTAGAAGACCATGAATCTCGCAAAATCGCTCAACTCCCATCAAAAAAGATGGCGGTTGTTTGTTTCCTCGGCCCCCGAGCCCCATCTCCCCTCCTTCCGGTCCATGAAAGCCCTGAGCCCCAGCATGGCGTTGTGCGTGCCGGAGGCAGCCACCGCGTTGGACAACGAAACCACGCCGACGCGCTTGCCGCGCTTTCCGGTGGGCGAGGTCGGGGGTGAAGGCTCCGCGAACTTTGAACGGGAACTGTCCTGGCTCCGCTTGGCTGTGCAGCATATCTTTTTAGTTGTGATTTTTATGGGACTTGATGGGATTTGAAAGGATTTTACAATCCAAAACTATATCTATGACCAACAAACGTGAGGATTTAAGTTGCTTTTGGGTAGGTATAGCTATCCTTAATCGGGTTTGCGAACCAACGTAAACCTTGGCGGAGCTCACTATACTTTAACATGATTTAAACATTTATATAACATTACTTAACCATAAGAAACATGATTTCATATGATTTCAATAGACGTGTAGAACCGCCAGATATTGTGGATAGTTGTCCCCAATTTCCGCTTCTGCGATGATTGAAAGAACCAATCTGGCGCCAAGTGCAATATTTCACAAACAGGAAACATTGACCATTTCATCTTTTTGAGAGGATCATACTCACAACTGAAACGCAAAGTATATCACGTGTTGTTGGTCTATTCACATCAAAAAAAGAACATCACTGGGAATGATTATCCGTGATTGGATAACAAAACATTCAAACTGCAAAACAGCCTTGCTTGTGTATATATTATAAATGTACATATGCACACATGAATGCCATACCGTAAATCATAGTAAATCATGTGCAATAGTCTCTTGTGTCATTGGCAAATCCCCACTTTGCAGTTGGTAAAACCGATGCAAACATCACCTTTTTTGTTGCCCAGCAACCTCTTCAATGTGCAATGGTTCCAGCTCACTTAGGTTCGGGTAGAACTTCCTGATGCAGCTCACAGGGGCACAGGCGGCGACAGCGACATATCGCAAATGCCATCCATCTACCAGTGTCGTCAAACATGGCTGGCTAGGGGATCCCTTGTAAATTTAGTTTTAATGGAAAATTCATCTGTAAATGGTGGATCTTCCAGCAAACCATGTTTGATGACTGGACTCAAAAAAAAACGAGACAATGAGTATGTAAACCTGTGAGTTTAGGTATGCTCTGGATATCCATCAGCATAGTGAACATACTCACTTTAATTCAACAGGTTCTGTTCTGTCGATGGCTGTTATTTTGTCCACTGCCATGCTTGCATACTTTTCGGTTGCAAATTTGTTTCGTTTCAACCAAAGCCAACCATCTTATTCAACTGAACTGGAACCATGACTCCCAGCTAGGGGCGGGCGTCAGATTTCTCAAATTCAACAAACTTCTTTAGCCAACGTCAACACCCATGGATCTTCATCTACGCAATATACTACAAGCTGTAAAAACCCGTTGGGAGCCTTTCTTTTTTGCAGTTTGAATAACGTTTCAACCATCAGACTCATCGCCATCACATGGGGAGCCGCGTGTTTTTAGCAGGAAACTCTTTCCTTCACATCCCTTCGCATCCCCCTGACTCCCAAATATATCCAAATATGCCATAAAATTAATTGCAATGAAAGCTTCCCTGATTCTCTGACCTTCATCCTTTTTTCATCATTTTTCCATATTTTTCCAACCATTCCCAAGCCATCGCCAAGCCATCGTCAACCGCCCTCCAACCCATCGCCAAAGCGTCCGCACGTTCTCGTCCACCTCCCGCATCTTGCACTCGTCGTCCCGCAACTCCGATCTGAAGCGCAGCTTCGCCCAGGAGAGCTCCTGACAGATGCAACGAATTTATTTTTTCTGGGAACTTCACCCAACCAATGTGGAATATGACGGGACCTCATCAAATATGATGGGAATCAATAATGTCCTTTTGGTAAAAAAATAGAGGGGCCAGTTTGGTATACCATCTATCATCATTTACCTGTTGTTTTTTTCGGGGTAAACAAACCCCTCTATGTGTCAACCAACCAATGGGAAAAGGACATCTATGATGGGAATAGGGCAATGATTTTGTGAATCTGCACCTTTGTATTTACATCTCTGCAAAGATATATAAATAATATAAATGTTCTATGTATCCAAACGCTTGTCAATAGCCACGGCCAACCAACCGAACCGGCCTTGGGGAGCGAAGGCAAAGCATAGCTGCGGTGAACTTCCTGAGGCGCCATGCGCCATGAAGTGATGTCACATGTTTTCATTATATCCCATATACTTATCAATAATAAATGTATATATTCAAATGTTTATATATATATATATATATGTATATATTCATATGAAATTATGTATATATATATATGTATATATATGTAGATATATATATATATGTATATATATATGTATATATGCGTATATATATAATTATTACATGGTCTGTTTGATTACTTGTTTCTCTCTTTCATCTTTTCTCATAGAATCTCATGGGTCCTCAGCCATCAAGAAACACAAACCAACGTCCCAATCCCAATGCCGTCCAGGTCGCGAGCTCGGAACGTCGCGAGCGGTTCCGCGCGTTGCCCAAATTCCAATGGTTTGGGGCCGTGACGCGCTGATGCTCTGAGTCACTACCTGCGACCGATCTCTCTGCTGCGACTTGGCATTCTATAAGCTGAAATCGATAATTATATTTACACACACATATAATATATATATATATATTGAAAGAAAACGTGCTACTAATTATGATATGTATGAGTACTAAATCATAATGAATATGGTGGTTGTGTTTATACTGATGATGAATGAATTATAAACAAATACAAATACATTTAATACATATATATATATATATAACTCTAAATGTATACATTTTAATATATTATATACAACACCATGAGTATCACTATTTCATGCAGGATTTTCCTGGGATAGTACACTGGTAAAATAAGCAACAATTCAGTAAATTAAAGACAACCATCCCATATACACATGTGGTAAACCCAATGCCTTAAACATCCTATATCGTAGGATTTATACAACCCATTTTGGTGAAATTGGGCCAGTTGGGGATGGTGTTCTTATTAGATTTCTCAAATTAGGTGTAACCCCTAGTGAACGACAGGTTTTGGATTCAGCTGCGTTGATGAGATTTTTTGCTGATTGAAGAATGATGATCGATTTTTTCATATTCAAAGATGAGTTAACCTTGCTCGGCGACCAATATGTGCCATGAAATACTGAGATGATCCTTGGAGCTTGTGAATGCCTGGGGGCACTTGCATCTGGACTATCTGGACTACCACCCGTTTTAATGACATTGGGGATATGTTGTTTTGTTGGATTTCCATGGATTTACCACATTCTGCATATCCAAATATGAAGTTTCAAAACGATCCAAAATCATTGAATTTAACAGCGAAGTTTGTCAGCTGAGATCAGATTACCGGTGCTTGGTAACTGGATCTGGGTGATGTCACAGCAAACAACAGTAGATATGATATATATATATAAAACACCCTATAGGTCAAAAGTTCTAAGTTCTATTCCCAATAAGTCTTTACCTAAAGATCTAAATAGGCAACAAGAGGCCTGAATAGGAACAAGGGTATAATAGCCTTAAAACTTTAAACTGTATGTTTTGAATTCTTGTGCCATCAAGAGTATCCAGATTGAAAGGCTGGTTCATGCTGACGTTTCTGACGCATTTCATTCTTCCCTCGTCACGTGCCCATGCTTAAGTTTTTGTGAGCTTGTCGGCATGTGAACTTATCAAGGCAAACATGTCCATTATCCTCCTGGTACCCCATTCCACGCTCTAGATAGGTCTTTCCACGGTTTGTCCACGGTCAGGTCTGAAATCATGTTTCCATTGTGTTGACAATCACAGCTTCAAGAAATTGAATTATAATGGTACATCAAGCCCTTTCAGGCTTTCAACTCCAAGTTTCAGCCCGGGTGGTACCTTCCAGCATTTGGCATCTAATCTATATCTTGTTATCTTCGATTAATATGTTTCTGGGATGTGCGCATCTTCAACCCCTGCTGCAGCACCCTTCCCTAGATAGGTACCAGTACTCACTTCTAAGCCTTTTCTCCAAAGACCTATACCCAATAGGTCTCCGACGCACAGGGAATATATATATATATATATATACATACATATATATATATATTAAAAAAAAACATGATGTATGTATTTAAACATATATTATATAGAAAATGTATGTGTGTGTGCGTATGTTTCATGAGAATCAACCCAGCTATGCATCATCCGAACAGTATATAGGAAGGAACCTATAATTTATATTTGTCTGATCTTTGTGGCACCTACAAATGGCACGTGACTTGGCTGCGCAACCAATGATATTGCACGCAAAGGTGAAATTACCGAAATTACGCCGCTACAAACAACCGAAGCAAATGGATCATATGGAGGTTTCCTAAGTCGTGGGGACCACCGCAAATCATCCAAGTCATGGATTTCAGTATATTTCAGTATTGACTTGAAACACCCATGGTGACTTGGGCATCCCGGAATCCCCCATGACTTAAGAAACAACGCCTGTCTCGGAAGGCGTTTTCTTGATCGCACTGGTGGCGCTGGTGGCAAAGAGCATCGCCATGGCTGCACCAGGGGCCGGGGCCTGGGTGGGTTTCGCGGGATGTCTTGTGTTGGAAACATGTCAGAGAATCACTGGGGGATGTCTATTGATGTTTATTGATGGTGATTGGGTTTGTTGGGTTTGTTCGGCCCTGTATTTGATGTAAGTTGATGTCCTTTTCCTTTCTAATCACGAATGCATAAGGGGAAGAAAGGGATGCAAAGCACCAAAATCATACAGTAATTACCTGTCTCAGGGATAATGCCAGTTAGGAAAGACAGAGGTAGCAAGACACTGCGGGCAATCCGAAGCTCTGGTGTCCTATCAGATGATCTGATGAGTTGATGAGTCCTGGTTTTCATTCGCGCAGCCCATCACAATCACAGCCCATGGTAGAACCATAAAGAAACAAAGGATTAAAATGGAACTTGGGATCCACAACGGCGACGGAAGTTCAACAAGTTTCAGCTCCTCAGCTGCTTGGTTTCTCGACCTCATGGACTCATGGACCTGTATCATGACCTATCTATCTAAACTGAAGCTCGTATCTCTCCGCCAAAAGAAAAAGTGAAGCACTGGAGAACAAAATCAATAACCTTTGCAACAGGCGTTCATAGCTCATTTAGAAGGCGTGACGTTACGCAGCATGTTTTGTCAAATATCAACACTTCCGCAAATGTTGGGCGTGCAAATCTACCTGCCGACACTGCAGACTCCCAAACTACAGTGATTCAATCATGGGGGTTCAACCAACCTCCGCAAAGGTGACCCACCTAATGACTCATGATAGCAGGTCACTAAGCCCTTTGTGGCGTTTTGTGGTGGCAAAATTCACTAATTACTAATTTCAATGTGCAATTCGCGCAAAACCACTTTTCAACGACAAATCGCAAGCGCGAGTGCGGACCAATTGCCCAAGACACGTCCAATTTAAGTATCTGAATGGTCCAATGAACTGCACATTACCATGCTGGATTGCGAATCATCCCTGCCGCTCCAGTCTCCCAAAACCCTTTATTTTATGATCATTGCTAAACACCAGAAGGGCGATAAAGCAAAAGATCACAGACAACTCCTCCTGTTTCTGCGTGTTTGTTTTTCAATCATTTTCCCTTAAGCCGACCCAAGTATGGATGCTTTCCTGAACCTTCCGCTGAGACATTCCGCCGAGATGTGCTGACTGCACCCATGGGATTCAGCTTTGCCATTCCATGCTGCAATCTGGGCGCCTCACAAAGAATTGGTGACCTGTAGAATTTTAGTACATATATGGACTTTCGCATACTTTTGAAGAAAATTCCGAAATGTTTCCAGAAAATCGCCAGCATTTACGCAACAGTCAAATCTATAATCTTAAATATTAGCCGCCGCCCACGTTAGCGTTTGATCCCAGCAATGACACCTACTTACTGTGTGCATTCAAGACGTGTTTCCCCACCTGCCAGGTGGGGGTCTCTAGTTTTTTTTAAGTTACGAGTACGGGTGGTGACTTACGCCGCAACCTATGATCTTACCCCACCGCACGGCACACAGCTTACCCCACAACCTAAAAGAACTGGTGCCATAGCCAAATCACCACGGCACACCGACACCTATCCATATGTGTGCACAGTGTTTTAATGAAATTCCTATGCGGACTGCAAATGTTGTATCGTTTTTTAATCTGCCTTAGACCTGACACAAAGCGTTGTAAACCGCATGGCGCACCATCAACTTGACCTCTAGAAGACAAGGAGTTCTACATGTCATTCTCATTGTCGGACTCTCATTCCCACCCTGGAACAAATATACTTTTCTGTATGTAGCCTCTTCCACCCTACTCTTCCTCGGAGTTTCTATCTCAAAAAGGACATGTTTCAAAAACATGCGTGCCCCTGCAAAGTGTTGGAAAAATCAATGCCAGAAACAACTTATTCATCCAGTAAGAATGACATGTATATCATGGACTTCCCAACGGCACACCGTTTGCGGCACAAGAAGACAACCGCGGCACAAGAAGACAACAGCGGCACAAGTTACCACCCTGACCCTGTACTTCCTCATTCCGTCCTTCCTCGCCTTCCTTCCTCCCAACAGCGAACTCCAGATCGCAGTGAGCACTGCCTGCGAGCTCCAGATCTCAGTGGGCACTGCTGGACCTCAACTGCGAGCGCCAGATCTCAGTGGCAATGCCCATGTCAGAGAGAATGTCAGAATACAATGTCAGATAGAATGCCACATATACGTCCAAATAAGATCAAATAAGATGATGTCAGAATATGTCAGAAACTATGACAAATAATCATGTCACGGTGGGGAACACTCGAAGTAAAGTATTTTTTTCAGTTTGTGGCCCCAATCCGGGTGTGAAACGAGACGTCATGGATTACCAGCAACGTCCCTAGTGCGACTGCTATTGCTACAGTCCGAACGGTGTCTAATACTTCAGTGCCAGGAAAGCTGCAACACCTGCTTTGATCCACTTGTCCACAACTTTGTCCTTGGTGGGTCAATGGATACCGTCTGGTGAACATTCTGAAAGCCAACAAACGGGCCGCAGTATGCCACAGTCTATTTCGAGCTGCTTGGCTTTGACTCCTACCGTGTTCCTAATCCTGACTCACACGCCCATTTACCAAAAACCTATG